GTCCACATCCCCGCAAAACTCCCCCCTCCGCTGAGTAGCCACGTGCATCCACGGCAAATCCGCCAACACCCCCGACACGTCCCGTACCAATTCGCCAAAACATCTCCCCAAACAGCGGTACCCCTGTCTCTTCCCCATCCACAACTAACAGCTCCTTCAACAACCGTAGAGAGTACAGCACCGCCTGCATCTGCGCATGCAGGTGAATATCATCCCACTCCAACTTCGCCCCACAATAACCGCGTTCCAAAAACCTGCGTATCTCTCCCGCTCTGGGCCTGTCTTCGCCCTCCATGCGACTGAGAATATCATACAGCGCAAAACATTTCCAGACGGAACTTCGCTCAACAGAATCACCATAGCAACCGTAAACAGCCGTCATGAACCCATTAACCTGCCCCAAGAACGCCTCAAGTCTCCTCTCTACCTCCCTCTGCGTCATCAGTGTCAGAGTGACAGGCGCTATTCGCTGGCCCTTGCGCATATGCTCAACCACAATCCCCTTCCTCCGTCCCTCGTCTGCAGCATACCTCAAATTCAGTAGCGAATAGGCAAGTAACCGCAGTTCACTACCCTGCAGCCATGCGGCGCGGCGCCCGTGACATTCCACCAGGATCGGGAGGTATACATATGCCCCTGTTTCAGGCCCGTTGAACGCTGGCAGTTCATATTGCGTAAATAACTCGGAGAGTTTGGGGTCTGTCAAGTCCGTATGCATACGTACATGTATCTGCTTTGAATCATTACCGCCAATATTGTTCGAGTACTCTTTCATGAACGATTGATACGATGCACTATTCTCTGCGACGCCCGTGGTACTCTTCGCTCTGTGGATGAGTGTCGCAAACGACGTGTAGGGATCCTTCTTCAGTTCATAGGCTAAGCGCTGGAAACTGACAACGCCCAGTTTCTTGGCGATTGTCGCGGGGTGTAATTCCGTTGCTCGTATGCTTAGTTTCATAGCATCGGGGTCCTCAGTTTCTTCTGTAGCTGATGACTCCCGGATGTGACGACAGTCGCTCATTTCAATAGAATTAAAAAATATCACAGATCCCTCCGCGCCCAGGTCGTGAACGAGCAGGTCAGAGTCGCCTGTCAGAACTGCGCAGCCATAGTTCTTCGCTGTAGCTGCACAGTGCTCGTCAGCTTCCCCTAGGACAACTTCGACTAGTCCTGCAAATATATTATCTATATTCCTAGTTTGACGCGACGCAATCTCGTGCAATTCTGGAACGCGGGCTGTGCATTTCATAACCTCCTCCCTATTCCATCTGTATTTCAAATCCTCAATGACTGTGGGTATCATGAATGCGGGTGCCGGCAAGAACTTGAACTGAGATGATGGCAGGCGACGACCGAAGATCCTATCCCGGTGGATATTCATGGGCTTACTGCGGATGCTGGAAACTTTGAAACCCCCCTGCGTATCACAGCATAATTTTTCGAGCTTTTGTCGAGTTGCTTCCATTCGTTCCAGACGAGTGTTGCGTTTGGACAGTGGCAGGGCACCGTCAAAGTATATATTTTCTCTAATTTTGTTCAAATAACAGAATCGCCTTAGTTAGTTTGAATAGACAGAACCCAGTACAGAAAAGACTTTATAAGACTTCCACTCCATCCAACAACAATCTACGTTCAAAAAACCAAAATTGCTTACATCCTAACACCCACCCCCATCAAACACAGCAGAAACTGCATAACGGCAATGCTTACTTCATCCGCAGACGGCTGCGCATCAACAGGGTTTGCAGATTCGTCGCTCCAAGGCAATATCCACTCGTAGACATTATATACCAGTCCTGGCCCGTCGATCACGATCGATGTGATGTTCTTGGTGCTCTGGTCATTTTTATTGTTGTTGCTCAGCCAGACTGTCTGCGCATGCGGGAGTAGATGGCGAGTTAGGAAGAGGATCCCCATCTGCACGCAAGCGATTCATGGGCCGTGCTCGGTAACGGCGCGCTGGATAAGTGTTGGACTGGGGGAGGTGGAGAGCGGAGAAGTTTGGATATCCGACATATGCCAACCATGAATAGCATATCTACATGGAGAACATTGTGAGAAAACTAGCGGTAGTGATAGAGGTGTGTGATCGGAATAAACTGTGTAGAATTCGTAGCGGAATCTGGTATCCCTTAGATTTGATAGATGCGTGTGGAGAAATTTCGCGGAGGTCAGGGCACATTTTATCTCCATGTGATGATTCCCGGCTGAAAAGTGTTCTCCGTTCCCAGGAGCGATGGACACGGGGCATCAGTGACATATTCCTTCGTTGTTATTTTCTATAAGAATGAAGATCTAAATAGTTCTTTTCAAACGCTGCCCGTCATATAGGGGAGAGACCGTAAATACATCTTCCACCGCCAAAAAGAAAACACGCAAAAAGATGATACGGCTGGATATCCAACCACCAGTCCATGATCACATTAGAAAAGCAAAGTTAAAATTGGTGTCTAAATCTATGATCAAACACATATACTCCCACGGATAAGCAGCAAATCAAAACTTGCCAGGCTAACGTATGTATCTACACATAGACCAGCATCCCACAACACACGCCAAATAAAAGATACCCATCCACCCTTGTAAATGGCACGTAACATAGCCGTGCAGGACGGGGAACGAAAACCTCTCAGTTCCCGTGCAGAAACAGCCCAAGGCAACAGAGCCCCTTGCAACTGTATGCCCAGATATAATACACATGCGGGTTCCCAGGACCTGCACAAACATCACGTCATGTTAATCTCCCTTTCCGGATTGCACTACATAGAGCTCAGTGGGTCAAGAATTAAATGCTATTCCTGCCAATGTGGCGTGAACAGCATAATCACAATTCCGCAATTCCGAACTCCGCATATCCTTGTGTTCGAACTTGTTGGAATACGTATTTCCCGCCCGGTTGAATCGCATCAGGTCGCTAATTGAGCACCTGGTCGCACAATCGTCCGGCAGCAGGTGATGGAAAGTCATGCACGTAAGACGGGTAAAGACCCTCCCGCAACCCCAATACCCCGTAAAACAGAAAGCCAAAAATAAAGTGGTTTCATTTCTCCGGAGCATCGGGGAGGCGCTCGATAACATACTTCGCCCTAGCAACACTCATGATTGGCACTCCGGGAATTTTCCTAGAATTTCCAGAGCAAAACAAGGAACGTCAGAAACGCAATAAACAACCAAAACTTTCCAAAATCTTAACAAAAAAAAAAAAAAGAAAAGAAAAGAAACTCACCTAATCCTCCTCTTCAAATCCCTATCATTCGTCGCCACAATATAAACACGATGCTTAATAACCCTATCAACAAGACAATCATCCGCATACGTCCCCTTGTGGTCACACTTCAACCTCTCAAAGCGCGGATCCTTGGCAATGCGCAGCGCAATGCGGTACTTGGGACCCAGCTTCTCCAACTCGGCTAGCACGCAGTCCGTGACGAGCGGGATGCATTTGGCGAAGAGGCAGTCCATCATTGTCGGGATGACCTCAAGCTTGTGCTGGACTGTGTGTGAGAGGAAGTTGGTATCGACGAGGATGGAGTAGGGGGGTGTTAGGGCTGTGTTATATTGAAAGAATAGGGCGGAGGAGACTTGGGGGCTGTTGAGGTGGTCTTCGTTAGTGGGGGGAGGTTTGTTTTCTATTTGGAAGGGTAGTGGGTGGGGGAAATGTGTGTCTGTGGAAGGGAGGGTTTATGTTGATTACATTTCTCGGACGAGCTCATTGGATGTATTCTTTGCCGCTTTGCTCTTCTCTGGCGCTTTGGCTTGGTTTTCTTTTCTGTTGTTTGGCGATGGGAACTAACCATGAGCAATCTGATGTATTAATTCATTTTGTCCGGGGGGCGGACTATTCGGGAGGATGAGGGGAGATGGGCATACAATCGACTATCACGGTTAGTAATTGCTCTTTTGACCTGTTGTATCCCATTGATTAGATCCCTCTCACCACATCTCCAATTGACTATAAGCGAATAGACGAACCTGAGCAAACTTGCGAGTCCTCTTCTTGATACCCATACCTTTTCATCAACACCTGCGGAAAAAGAGAAAGAGAAAAGGGAGGAATATATCTATGCGGACAAAATGACAGATCGAATGGGACACTCGCTGGTAGCAATCAGATCTCCAAATCTCAGTTATAAAACTGGCCGTTGCGGTAGAAATGAACGGATGTCCTAACATCGTATCTTTTCCTCTTGAAGCTCAAAAAAATTGTTCTTCTGCTTATATAATCCACATAACTAACGTAATCGATAAGCGAGTCGGCCACATAAGCAAGTCGGCCATTTTTCATCTCATCCCAGAACAACATCTTCATCATCAAAAATGTCAACCACACAAAGAAATAAAGCCTCTACTCAGGAAGGAAGGCTTCTTTTAGCCATTCAAGCATTTAAAAATGGTCAAATTTCAAGTGTACAAGCTGCAGCAAAGCTGTATGATGTTCCATGTTCCACTCTAGATGATTGGATATATGGTCATACAGCATGCATTAACACTCCTTCAAAGAACTGGAAACTTAGTCTTACAGAGGAAGAATCTCTTGTTCAATGAATTCTGGTCATGGATGAATGAGGTCAGCCTCCCTGGGTTGCAGCTGTATGAGAAATGGTTAACCTTCTTCTTGCCAGCTGAAGATTCAACTCTTTATTTACAGTGAGTGAATACTGAGTATGAAACTTTGTTAAGTGTCATGATGAGCTGAAATTCAAGTTCTTATACAAGTACAATCATCAGCAGGCTTTATGTGAAGATTCTAAAATTATCTGTAAGTGATTTAGACTCATACAAAACACTATTATGAAGTATGAGATTATAAAAAATAATATCTACAACTTTGATGAGACTGAGTTTCAGATGAGTGTAATTGAGACTATCAGAGTGATGATTAAATCTGAAAGAGCTGAAAATCTTAAACTTGTATAGTTTGAAGATTGAGAATAAGTAATTATTATTGTTGAAGTCAATATAAATGACTGAGTCTTGCATGTGATAATTATTCTCAAAAAGAAGATATATTAATTCTATTGATATAAAATAAAAGAGCTATTATATGACTGAGTGATTGAAGTTAGTGAGAATGACTGAATCACTGATCAGCTGAGATTATACTGACTGAAAGAGATGTTTAACAGGAAGACTCTATTCTATACAAAAAATAAATATTGACTGTTGATTTTAGACTGACACTGAAGTTATATCTCAATTGAATTTGATCAATTTTATACTGAGAATCAGATCATTATTCTCTATATATTATCACATTTTTCTCATATTCTTCAGTCATTTAATGTTGACTACTTCTCATCTTTGAAAACTGTATACATATAGCAGATGAAAAATTAGATGTGACTTGAAATTAATCATATTGACAAGAAGAAGTTTTTGAGTCTCTATTCTGCAGTTTAGATGTAAATTCTAATTGAGAGCAACATTAATAGCAGCTTTAGAGCTGTTGAGTTGATTTCATATAATTCTGAGCAGATTCTCTTGCAGCTTAATATTATGATATATATTCTCACTTTCTCAGAGATCTTTTATAGCTCTCAGACCTTCTGAGCCACAGTCACATCATATAATATACATCAATTGAAGCAACAGGTTGAGAAAGTTAAAGAATATATCAAGTATTATATATAGAGTTCATCTAATCTAATCAATTATACTTTAAGTCAACTGATCAAGAGATATCAAATGACAATGCATAGTACTGCTATTCTAGCAGCTCAAAACAAAAAGTTAAAAGCTCAAAATGTCAAACAAAAGAGAAAGTGAGAAAGAGACTGTATATATGTAGCTCAAAAGAGTGCTTTGAGAGTTGAAGAAGACTTGAATCATATATGAAAAATCAATAAATAAGAGCAGGAAGTGATTGAGACTGCTGAGTTATAACCACAAAAACATGCAGCACCACAGTATAGTGTATATGAGATTATTGAGTATACTACCTGTATATGCTTTAAGTGTATAAAAAATAATTTATAATATAATTTATTAGTTTTTCTTTATAGTTGAGGCTTTGAAGACATTCTCATTATATGGCAAGGTGAGAAGTGGTTTGCTTGCTTATATGATTCACTCACTTATCAATTACATTAAATAGTTAGTTAATATAATCTATCACTTAGTCAATTGGATCACCTAGTTGATTAGTTTATTCAACGCATATACGTTTAGTATTCACATTAATAAAATACTTAATCTACAGTTTTCTCAAGCTTTCACTCAGGAAGGAAAGATTTTTTTAACTATCAGGCATTAAAAAGAGATTAAACTTCAAGTATTAAGAAAATTGCAAGCTTGTATAGCATCTTTTTTACCACCTTACAGAATTAATTGAATGGTCATATAATATGAGAAAATTCTTAACTCAACAATTGAAAATTAGCCTCTACTGAAGAGTCAGTTCTTGTACAGTGAATTCTATCTATAGATGAATGTGGCCAGCCTTCTTGAGTGCGCACTGTATAAGAAATAGTCAATCTTCTTCTTGCCAACTGAGATTCTAGCACTGAGGCTAAACCTCCACCTACATTTAGTAAATGCTGAGTTAATCAATTTATTGATCATCATTCTGAGCTCAAATTCAAGTTCTCATATAAGTACAATTATCAATGAGCTCTATATGAGAATTCTAAGATTATATGTAGTTGGTTCAGACTTTTATGAAATATTATTGCAAAGTATAGGATTTTAGAAGATGATATCTACAACTTTAATAAGACTGGATTTCAGATGAAAGTTATTAGCACTGCTAGAATGATGACTGGGTCTAAAAGAATCAATCATTCAAAACTGGTTCAACTTGGAAATCAAGAATGAGTGACTGTTATTGTTAGAATCAATACCACAGGTTGAGCTCTTCATATGATAATTATTCTCAAAGGAAAAGTGCATTAATTCTGTTGATATGAGACGGAAAGGCTGTCAGGTAACTAGGTTATTAGAGTCAGTGATAATAGCTGGACAACTGACAACCTGGGCCTGTATTGGCTGAAGGAGGTGTTCAACAAAGACATCTTACCCTATATAAAGGGCAAATACTGACTGTTAATTTTTGATAGATATGAAAGTTATGCTTCAGCTAAATTTGACTGGTTCTGCTCTGAGAATAATATTATTGCTCTCTACATGCCAGCTTATTCCTCTCATCTTCTTCAGCCATTGGATGTTGGCTGCTTCTCTGTAGTGAGTTAAGCTTTAAGAACTAGAGGCTAGTCCTCCTATATAACAAGGACAAATTGCTTGGGAAAGGAAAAAAAAGAATGAGATGAGAATACAAGCTTAAGCAAGCTCACATAGCATGATCATATGCATATGTGCAAATGATGACTAGGCTGAGTCAGTCAGCCAGAGTGAATCTAGAGATTCAGTCCCTTATAATACCCTTCTTCTCCCTCTTTGTTGCAGGCCTTTACAACTATTTAAAGCCCTCTTTACATCTAATTTTGCCTGCTGAGAGGCCTTCTAAGTGTCCAAAGTTTTTGCTTCTTGTAGAAGACTCATGTCATTCTATGTAGGCTCAGCTCAACCTACTCATTTAACAAGGTATTGCTTTTTTCTCTAATAGATTCATTCATTTCAAATTTCCTCAATCTCAAACTCAGGTCCTTTCAGAATCTCTATAGTGAGTGACTGCCAGTCAGTTTGCCTCTGACTAAGCAGGGGATTTATCATCACAGCATGTAGAAGCTTTACATTAAAGACATTGTGAATGCTGAGTGAGACATTTAGTTGATAAGCATAAAATTCTATCTTTTCTAGCACAGTATATTGATTGTATTTTGCATTCAGCTTCTTGCACAGGTAATTAGTTCTCATGTTCTCTAAGCTCAATTAGATCTTATCTCCAGGTTGAAAGCTTGAAGCTGGGTCTTTTCATCTATTCATGTAGTTCTTTTGAGATTGCTGAGCATCTGTCATTTTTACTTGAGCTCACTTCAATACTTCATAGATCTTCCTCATATAATTATCTGCAAACTCAATGAGATTATATGATGTTTCAACAGAAAGTGCATCAGCTATATCAATGAAGAAGATGTGAAAAAGATATGTTAAAAAAAATGAGCTCACATCTGTTGAGACAGCATCTCTATTATTAATGATTAGCTCTGTCAGAGAAAGTTCTTCATATCAGTCATTCTGTTGAAAGCTAATGTACTTGTGTAAGTAGATTTTCAGAGTCTGATTCATTTACTCTGTAGCTCTATCAGTCTCTGAGTTATAGACTATGAAAAGTCATCTTTTAATATCTAATTTCTCACACATCTGAGTTCAAAATATGCTTGTAAAAGCTGACTCTTAATCTGACACTACTGTTTTAGAAATATCATATTGAGAGATGATGTTGTAAAGAAACACTGTAGTCACTATCTCTGCATCAGTTTTCTTAACTGCTTTTAATATAATTCTCTTGATCAGTCTGTCTATTATAATCATGATGTTTGTGTATTCTTTAAAGCTTGATAAGTTCATAATAAAGTTCATAGAAAGCTCTTGTTACATATGTTCAGAAATGAGAAGAGACTTAAGCAGTTTCTGATGTTAATCTCTCTATGCAGTGTTTGATCTGCAAAGATGACAGTTCCTGATCATTCTTCTCACATTAGCAGCATAGTCTGATCAGTAGAACTCATGTCTTAGAACTTCTGCTGTTTGCTCTCACTTAGAATGATCAGTAAGAGATAAGTCATAAGCCTTGTGTACTAATCTCATTCAAAGAGGTTTGAAGTCTGGCACTCACTTATGATCTCAAAAGAGAAGCTCTCTGTTCTCATTTAAAGAGTACTCAGAGACAGAGGCTTTAATGCTAAGTTAAGAAGAAAATTTGAATCTTCTCTCATGAAGAGTCTGCTTCAGATGCTGCAGAATCTTGTTATTTTTATGAGTCTTATTTCACTGAGCTTGAAGAGACATCTCAGATTTCACACTAACAGTGATCACTCTTGATTTCATTTCAGATATCAGTACATTAAACTTAAGTAGTTGAGCTTATCTCTGCTTGATTCTCTCATCAT